ATCCAAACACTCAGTGGATTGACGCTTTCGCAAAACCAACCATTGTTGACTCGCTTGATATATTCAATCCAACGGCGGTCCGTTCTTGACCACGAACGACTGCACTTCTTGGCTCCAAGTCGTTCTCTTGTTGATATTCTTGACTTCAGATTCATATTATTCTTCGTCTCAGCATCCAGGGATGTCAGTCGTTGTATTAACTTGCAAGATTTGGCCGCGAGACAAGTTGATAAGCTTGTCGGGGAGGCTCGCTCCGAAATTTACACTGCACATCTACTAGTGTACACTTAACTATCAGAGTAATAGAACTATTTACTTTTTCTAACCGCGTTTTACAGCCTTCACATCGCATCTTGATGTGTTTTAAACGATATAAAATCTATGCAAATTTGACAACAAACACTGTATACGCAATCGAAATGTTCATATTTTTTAATTTGTGAGTGTGTGGTGGGAGAGGGATTCAAGACGTCACTACCTTTTTTCCTCACATTTCTAAATAATTATTACTACGCAGTCTCTTGGAGAAATAGGTATTTGTCATACACAAGCATAACATCGAAGCTTGGCAAATTTATCGCCTAATACGTCGGCATTGTCATTCCTGACACAAGTCGAGTTTTTCGTCCTTCCGCGAATTGTCTCAACTTTTAATATGAAATCGTGAGTCAAGACGGTCAACATTTTGCATCAAACATAAACATCTCAGTGTTTTTCTAAACGCTTATATTATTCTTCCTTTTCCCTCTCGTATCAATACAACTTTTAAACACACTTTGTCGCGCTGAACCCGCTTGTAATGATATTCTGAATGATATTTGTCAGTCGAAAGTTTAAATTACTCGGACTGCTGTCGTTTAATACATCTCATGCACTATTCCTTTTGTTCATATCTGTATTAACCTGGAGAGTCCTGTCTCGATGGGTAATCTGAACTATGTAAGAATAAAATTTCGGTATGTTTAATAAAATGAAAGTGAAAATGAAATTTCATTATTTTGAAGAGATTTGAGCCACGAACTCAGTCAAACTATCAAAGAACAATCTTGACACCTTCGCTAAAAACAAAATGAAATTGAATAACTCGAAAGTTTGTATCGTCAATATAATAAGCTATTTCTATATGGATCATACCGTCTGCAACACAAGCTACACCTCAGGACTGGCAAGTTCTTTGCAGAGTATTCCGCTCCGCCGAATTCCTGCCTTCAATAAAAACAAAACAGCCAATCATCAGATCAAAAAAGACCCACCATGATGAAAAATAGAGCCCTTATTAACCGACCTAGCTTGGTCATGATCAATCTGTTATGCTTCCCTGCCGATTTTGGACTGATTTTCGGATATTCGGGATCATATGAAGCGGTTTTGGTCGTTCGAGTTTTGTCTGGAGACGGCGTTAGTGTTGTGTAATAAGGTGCTTCATAAATAGTATAAGTTAAATTGATCAGGTTTATTAAAATGCTCAGAAGACTGTCTTTAGTTCAATATCTTATGAAAATGTAGCTAAATTCAGTCTTTTATATGTATGAATAAGTAAAATTTAGTACTCGCCTTTTCGATCCATATGCACCTCCGAGTTCGGCAGCTGTTAGTAGGCTGATTCATTCGATCTAACGGTAGTCCGAATTCACAAAGCTGAAACGATAATGAATATGGACATCTTTGCTAAAAACATGATTGAATCGCTTTTAAAAGTTTGTATCGGCAATGATAATCACAACATTTAAAGTCAGCTTTTAAACAAACCTACACCTGCTAAGTTTTTCGAAGAACTTTCAGGATTCCACGAAATCGGTCCTTTTGTCGTTATTGTCAGTCTAGCTGCTTGCAGCGGCCAATTAGAATATATCACGTGATCGACCCATATGGGCGTCATGGCTATTTATAATTTCTAAACAGGAACAAGGGGCCATTTTGCATGACCATGCGCGAGCAGCTGTATTGTCGCATTGTTACTTGCAGGCTCACAACAGGCTACCCGCTCATTCATTTGTTACAAGACGGCGAAAAGCTATCGTGCATTCCTTTATTTCTCTATATTTTCGGTTCCATCGTTATTTGCGAGCGTAATAAAGAAATTGAAAATGTAATAAAGTATGCAACAACGGCAATAAAAAAAGAAAAATAAATAAAAAGAAATTATCGATCTGCAATAACATAGCTAAAAGACCTAGTTTGTAACAATCAAACGTCTAGGGGCAGACGCGCGTATTTATGGCGCTTGATAAAACATTAAAGTATAATAATCAGGGACTGAGTAGCAGTCGAGTTCGGATAGCATTTGAAAAATTAGCGGATTCCATCAAAAAAACGTTAATACTATTTCAAAATTTGTTTTCTGAGCAATATATTGAGAAGCTATAGCCCTCTTCCCCACCTGTTTTATAAGATAAGAAGATCAGATGACAATACATGAAATCAAAAGAAATGTTGCAGATTTGTTGTACTCAATGTTACATGCAATAAAGCACTGTGTGAAGATTACATTATTTCCAGGGAGGGGTGYAGGGYACTCAGCCAKGSARCTCTCCAAGAAACCATGACAAAGGAGACACAAATAAAAGGAAGCATATTAAATCTCGAGGGGGGTTGCAAACTCCCTGCGCCCAGCAGCTGAATTAGCCCCTGTGCTAAAAACAAGCTTTAACAAGTGGATATGAGTTTTATTTCATATTTATGACAGGCAAAACAGAGCACCATATGGTAGAATATTGCAAATTTACCAACCTTAGCCAATTTTTTAAGAAATTCAAAAGCAAAGAAACAAAGGACATCAAATCAAATGAAATAAGTGTGGTATTTTCTCGCACAAGTCAGATATATAATTATTAATGATAGTAACTACATTAGCATATTCTATCATAAATAGCAAAACAATTGTCCGATCGCTGATATATTATGTATGGCCTTTTGTAATGGGTATAACATGTAAMTACATCTGATTTCATGCTCGAATATTTTAAAATTCACTAGTTTTGACCAAAACATAATGACCATGTAAACAATGCTTACAACAATGCTTAAACAATCTTGAAAGGCCAAAATATCCATCTTCGCCAATTTTTGAATTAATGATCATTCTTAAAACAGTATTAATACATACGATTATAATCATTTCTGCTTGGTTCGCATTGGTATTTTCACTAGATTTAATAATATTTCACATGAAAAATATCAAAAAGCGCGAATTTATTATCGCATAAAGGATGTGTCAATCTTGCCGCTTTAATTGCAAACGATTTCAAAACAAAATGTTGTCATAAAGTACAAATAGCATCCAATTTACATGGCTATAAGAACAGGCACCAGASCGTCTTGYTTCCCAAGATAAACCAACGACAAAGTATGGTTTTGACCACATTTCAGTCGCCATTTTATCTTCTCCAAGTCAGTCACACCGTATGATTTTTAACCATATTTTAACCAGATATACTCCAGAAATTTAACTTGAWTAAGACTTTCAACACATATTCGATACTAGACTTGACGTTTGAACCTAATCAATTAGTTGTTGAAGAATGAAAAAGCGAATTTATATCGTGCATGCGCAATGAAATGCCCCTTGTTCATATGAGGAAGTAGCTGATCCCATTAAATGCTCAATATATGAGTGCTCAATATATACACATTTAGTATAAACATACTAATGGTCTATCACTCATACTGCGCTGTGATTGGCTACTCTACTAATGGTCTAATTTGTGATAGACCACTCGCGGGAAAATCAAAATAAATAAATTATAAATTATTTTAAAGGATATTTCAATTTGTTTTCATTATTTGACCAATTAGTATGTTTATACTAAAACAATTAGACCTCTCGGCCTCGTGGACTACGAGCTAATAGCCCATTCGGCCTCGCGGACTCGGCCTCATGGGCTATTAGCTCGTAGGCCACTCGACCTCGAGGTCTAATTGTTAAATAGAATACAAACATTAAATGTGTGCAACACTTTTATAACAAGAGGCAAGATTTGCTGTTACTCCGAGTTTCGTGCTACGCACTCATTAGACAGTATTTATTATATCCAGGGGCGGATCCAGGATTTTTCAAAGGGGGGTGGCTAACACTAAAATTTAATATTAAAATACGTTACAATTAGTTTCACTCTTTAGGCTCATGTGAAATAATCGTTTATCGTTATCTCGGGCACACCTATAATATTTCGGACTTTTCAACAAACTTTTATATGAAAGATATTTATGAATATATAAACATCAGTTACATCAAACAGTTCTTCTCACTCGATATTTTTTTCGAAGTAATTATACATATTTTCCGTTATACAATAATCTTGTTATTTAATTTCTTTTTTTCAAAACTTTAAGTCTTTATATTTTTTCAAATAAAAGAGGAGGGTGGCTAGCCACCCAATCCACCCGCCCTGGATCATAATAATAAATAATAATAATAATTTATTAATTTATATAGCGCAATTAATTATTAAAATATTCTAATGCACTTTACAATAGTTGAAAAAATATATACATTTATAAAATCTATTTACATTGATTTAAAACGATAAATGCTAAAATATTAAATTAATAAGATTGACTAAATAAAAATGTTTTCAAGTTAGCTTTAAAAGTCTGCAAGTCCCTGGATTTGCATATGTATAATGGTAAACTGTTCCAGACCCTAGGTCCGGCTACGGCAAATGCTCGGTCGCCAAATGTTTTACAGGTGATTCGTGGAATCACAAGGAGATGTTGATCATCACTACGCAGAGCATAGCGCCCAGGAGACTTCAAGTGTAATAGCTCAGATAAGTAAGATGGAGCGCAGGGCACGAAGAACTTTGAAAACCAACAGCGCGATCTTGAATCTGATCCGGGAGACAACTGGAAGCCAATGAAGTTGAACCAACACAGGAGTGATGTGGCAGTATCGTGGAAGAAGGCACATGACACGTGCTGCAGAGTTGAGTACACGCTGTCGATTAAGCTGGTACTGCGAAACACCGTAGAGCAGAGAGTTGCAATAATCCACGTGAGACGTGACGAATGCGTGAACCAAAGTTTTGGTAGCATCCTCCGATAGAAACTTCCTTATTTGCCTAATCTTGTAAAGACCAAAGAAGACCTTACAACAGACCTTCCAAAACAAGCTATATTTGAGACCATACATGGCAAAATTTTCTGGTTGGTATGAAGCATTAAAATGCCGAAGGAAGGAGTCCACTTGAAAAAGGGCAGGCAAGGATGATATTGGTATTTTAAGGCTGTCGACTGAAAAAGTTGTTGTGGGACGGGGTACAGGGAGCCAGCCACAAAGAACGGCTGCGAGGAGACTATATATAGGCACAATAGTGTCACTTATATATATTAGCGGAGCGCGAGCGGAGCACCATAGCTAAGAAAAAATGGTATACCATCGAGTCGATTTTCCATGGACCGACACAGGGTTCCCGCGCGTACGCACGTTTCCTTCCGTCTGTCCGTCCTTCCTGGTAGCGTGTACCACCACAGGAAACCCATACTCCGCTCGAAAAGAAAAAAAGCGCCAAATATTTGTTGAAAAATCGAAATGTTTTCCTTAAACATTTATATTCCATATTGATAATATTACACTGTAAATCGAAAAGAGCCGAATCAGCCCTAAAAATGGGGCTGAAACGCAAGGTAAAATACAGCCCCTATTTATGGGACTATATTAGCCCTTATGGAAAGGAGCTCTTTCAGCTCTTCTTAAATGGGCCAAAATGGCCCATAAAATAGAGCTGAAAGAGCTCCTTAAATGGRCCAAAATGGMCCATAAAAATAGAGCTAAAAGAGCTCCTTTCCAGAGGGGCTAATTTAGCCCCATTAATAGGGTCTGTATTTTACCTTGCGTTTCAGCCCCATTTTTACGGCAGTGGAGCTAAAACAGCACACWTTCATAAGGACTGTGTTTTGCATGGACTGCCAGACATCACATTTCAGTGTTTCTAAGGGCTATTAGAGAGACTAATGGTTAAGAATATAATATAAATGAACACATAATTTATTTTTTTCTTAATAGTTACTTTAATTGAATGCAAGAGTTTGCATTACAGGATGTAGTGCCTACACATGTTATCTTATATTAGACAAAGTACAACAAAACAATTGGAATCAAGTTTATAATTTTAATTCAACTTTCATATTCTTCAAAAAATTCTTACAATTTCTCTCTGTTGTAATGATTTTTAAAGTTAATATATYAAACCCACCTTAGTTAACATTGCTTAGTGCACCCAGCCCCTGAAATAAACTTTCACACATTTTTAATATAAAATATATTCTTTAAACTTTTCTACTTAGAAGCAGGCATTGTTCTTTTGGTGCAGAACAATCTGTGTTTTCATCAATATTGTACACTTCTTTGTAAAAAGTAATCAAGTCATTCATACTGGGCATGAGCTATCAAATGCATTCTCCTTGATCACAAAGTAGAGAAAACACACACCTTAACAACAATGCCTAAAGTCTAA